GCAGTTTTCAAACTGGTGTTGGCCAATGCCCCTGGAGACCAACACACAGATGGGGGATGATCCTCCCAGCAAATTTTAAGCTGTTTCTTATTTAAGCATTTCCTCTTTAAAACCTATTTCCTAACCATGACAGCCTCTCTGACGTGCAGCAGCCAAGTGCTTGGATGGTCAGGGCAATGGCAGGTAATAATTGGTAGGTAATAATGTGCTCATCAAAGAAAAGTTAGTTTCCCAAGTCTTCCTTATTACTAAAGAATTCATCAGCTATCTTCCATCCCAAATTAGACCTTGTAGACCCACCTGGCTTATGAATCAGCTCTACCATCACTGCATACCAGCATAATTTGTCATGTCTTTCAACATAACGGCTCCCATCCCACTCATGGGATGTGGAGCACAAGGAGGCAGCCAAAAAAAGCAGGACCCCATGTGCTGGACTCAGCAGAGCAGTAAAAGGCAGGGACTGAGGGAGTTTCTTCCCTCGCTGTTTGAGTTCATCTTCTGGACGTGATACGTGTGAGGACAGGGAAGATGGAGAAAATTGCTGGGGGTTCTCCCCTCACCTCAGCACAATCCTGACCCACGAAAGGGACTGAAAAGGCCACATCCCCCTGGGCAGCCTGGGTGAACAGAGACAGGGCACAGCAGAGTGAAGAAAACCTTGAAAGCCTCCAATAAGCAAAGGGCCGGAGAAGAACATTGTCACCACTGTCACCCGCCAGCTGCCACTGGCCACCGCAGAGGAGAGGGGCCAGGCAGGTACCTGCTGGGAGGGCGGGCGCCGAGCCCATGCCGGGGTGCGGGTGGTCTCCTCTGCACGTTTGGAGCTTTGAGTTAGTTCCTTCCAAACAAGGGGTAAAGCCTGGCAGCAGTTAGAGATGCCTCCCTGAGCGATTTACGCCAACGTGCAGCTTTTCTCCCAAGACAGTGTCTTGCAGAGTGACCGGGGGATCAGAAATGCTGCCTAACTGAGAGGGAGCCATTAGAAATGGGTGAGGGGGGGGCGTCTCCTGGCCAATGGTCCCGGTGAGCTCGCCCTTGCCTGCGCTGCCAGCACCCCTGAGGTCAGCGAGCACACCTCGTACCTGCAACATCCCTGTGCGAGAGCCCGGCAAGGGCCATCCCGCAGCGGAGCCAGGCACGACTTTTGGGGTTTTATTGCCCCCCCCGTGCTATGCGCTCCACTCGTGCAATTCTGTTCAGCTGAACTGGGGACGAGACTGCCACGACTCGTCTGCAGCGGTCTCATCGCCAGCCGGGAACAGCAGCTCCCAGAGCCGTGAGCAGACACAGCCGTGGCTTGAGCTGGTGAATTAAGGAGAGGAGAACCTGGTCTACCTGCATGAAGCATGAAGACAGACACCAGGGTCGCGGGGACACGGGGCGGAGAAGGCACCGGGGCCAGTTTCCGTCTAGCGGGTGCGAATGGCGTGTTTGCCGTCCGCGGCTCTGCAGTGCCTGGAATCCTAATCGCCTGCAAAGGGGCTTCTAATGATATTTGAAAACGAGCTTGGAGCTGCTGGGAGAGATTCGATGCCGCTCTCAGATAAAGGCAGGCAGGAGGCGCGCGCGGAGGGAGGGCGAGGGAGACGGGGGCGGGGAGCGCGTTTCACACCACGCAGCCGAGTGAAGGGAAATGTGGGCTGAATTTCAGCGGGAGCAATTTCCTAGCGGGGAGGGAGCGAGCAGGCAGCCGAGCGGCCGCCCCCAGCCCTCCGGCAGCGAGGAGCGCTGGGATCCCGCCGGGCACGGCTCCGGCACGAACCCCTGCACTGGTTTAGGGATAGAGAGGCAACCTTGGACCCTTCCAGCAGCCCGTCGGTACCTCTGCCACACAAAGAAGAGAGGAGGTGAAACGGGCAGCGTGTTGCAAAACAACCTGCTGTGCCAGCACCGCTCATCACCCCTTCTCCTGCTCACCTGCTTGGGGATGGCCACACTGCCCCAAGCACACGCCAGCCCACATCTCGGCCAGTTCTGATGGCAGTGGTCACACTGGTGCTGCCAGATTCCCTCCACCCTGTCCTTCACCCACTCGTGAGCAGAGTCCCAGGTGGCTCAGCCAACCTGCACAGACCAGAGCAGAGGCTCCGTGGGAAGGGTTGTGCGCTGCCCGTTCACTCTGGTGCAGAGTGACTGCAGTGCTGCCTTCCATGTGTACCCAGCCCTTGGGGGGACTCCTGAGGGCCTTGGTGCTGCAGAAATGTGCAGTTTGGGTTTGTTGGCAGAGCCGGGTGGGTTGGGGGGAGCATTTGCAGTGTCTGTGCCCAGCTCGCTGCCTGCCCTTGCCCCACAGCCCAGCCACCATCTCCCCAAATCCCCTGAGCTATGGACAGCCTGGGGATGCTCTGCCACTGTGGGCAGCTGCGCTCAGAGCTGGATTAAGAGCCTGAAATTTCCTGCTCCCCACTGCTTTTGGGTCAAGCGGGGAGCCCAACATGAGGCAGTTCCTTAGGCTTTCCCACCCCAGGGCCCCCCGCTGTGGTGTCACTGCATTGCCCCCACCACACCAGGCTGCTCCCAGCCCCGCCAGTGGCCGGGGGCCCTTGGGGACACAGATGGCTCCGCACCCCTGCCTGGCTGGGCTGGGCAGCAGCAGCAAAGCCCATTCTGGAGCTGAGGATCACAGCGGGAAGGAGGAACTGGGGCGCTGGCAGTGATTCCTCTATTAATGTATCCTGGTACCTGGAGCACCTTCCTGGATTAGCAAGGCAAACAAAAATGCCTCAGGTGCCAGGATGAGAAAATGAGCTGGGCAGCGCTGGCCCCACCTGCTAAAGGGGATAAATCATCGGCCGTGGGCTCTGTCCCCAGCTGCAGCGGGGCTGAGAGCCAAGTGCTGTGGGTGAGCAGCCCTGGAGGGAGCCCCCGGAGCCCCCACGCTTCCGTGCCGGGAGCGATCTGCTCCCTGAGCACAGGCAGGTGTAGGGACCCGGGTGCTGTGCAAGCGCTTCTGCCCCCAGCAAAGCGGCTGCAGAAGTGAGGCTCTTGCAAAGGGGACCTGGGGCAGGCTAAGCCCCACTGCACGCATCGTGCTGGGTGGCAGCGGGAGAAATGTAGCCTGTGCTGGGGAACCGGAGGTAATTTGCTTTATCCTTCTTTTTTTTTGAGGGCTGTTGGGCGTGCAAAGCTCCTGCTGAAGCCAACTGGCGCTGGTGTTTGGTGGCTCTGCAAAACTGAGCCATGGGCCTTAAAAAAAGAGATGGAGGGAAATCCTACTTCTGTGGGAGTTCGTCACCTTGGGCTGACTGCCCTGCCAGAAGGGACACCTTGACCCAGACGTGGCAAAAGGGCTCACTTCGGGGTTGTTAGAGGCAGGAGGGAGCCAGGGCGGTGAGGAGCCAAGCACCAGCTCCTCTCCGCTGTCACTCGAAGCCCTGGCAGTCGGAGCAGGGAAAGGTCCCTCTCTTTCCTGCTCAGATTAAAACCTTTCGCCTGATGGTGTTTCTGCTGGGGACAGCTCAGAACAGCAGGTGCTTGGCCAAAGAAACTTTCATTGTAGTTACCAAATATTTATTAAAAGTAACTAGGATTAGTCATCGGCTCAGGCTGTGTTTGCAGAACAGGTACGTATGTCCGGTGCTTTGTAGGTAAATACAAGGGTGAGATGTCTTCCCTCGGGGGTTCACGCTCTGAAGCAGATCAAAACCGCAGACACAGAAACATCGGGGTCAGGGCAGAGCGAGCAGGAGGAAACGGCCTTTGTAGGGGGAACAACGCCGGCTCCGTGCGGAGGAGGTCACGTACGTCGCTTGCGGGGCGGCAGCGACCCTGCCCTGAGCTCCCCAAACCCCCGGCGCGGGGGCAGTGGGCCAGGCCCCTCCGTCTGCATGCTGGAGCCGTGCCCGAGTGACACGGGTCGGGGGGAGGCTGCATTTTGGGGCTCCGATGCGGGACCCGGCCAGACCGAGCCCATGGGACAGCCAGGCAGTGCCGGGGGGTCCCACGGGGTCCCACCCTGGCAAGTCCCCAGGAGAGGGTCGGTCCAGACTGGGAACCAGCAGATGGAGCGGGGCTCCTGCCCTCCAGCCCGGGGAGAGGACAGCATGGGGTGGTGTCCCCGGGGCACCCAGGGCCTTGCTGCCTCTGGCCATGCGGTGTCACTCTCCACTCGGGTTTGGGTCTCTGCAAAGCCTCCAACCAGCACATGGAGGGGGGAATAACCCCCCTCCCTGTGCCCCCGGAGCCGGCAGGCACCCAGGAAAGAGGCACCGTGGTGTGTCCCAGGGCAAGGCTCAGCTCCGACAGCATCCACCCCAGGGTGGGCATGGTGCTGTCCCCAGGCCCTGTGGTTTGGTGGCTCTGGTGCAGTCACATTTTGGGGCTGGGGGGTGCCTGGGCTGCCCTCCAGCCGTGCCCTAGGGATGGTACCCCACCAAGCGAGGACTGGCTCCCTGGCATCCCCGAGCAATACAGCATCAGTCCAGCGCCAAAGGGGCTCTCGGTGAGCTCCCCGGCCGCCCGATTTCTGCAGGGTCAAACACTGGCTCCTTCTGAATCCACTGCATGCATCGTGAGCCATCCAGCTGGCTCCTTCTAGGAGTTAATCGAGGTTTCCATTAGTCAAAATTAATGACCACCAAGAGTCTGTAGTCATCACATGGCTCCCACTGCTGCATCCTTAAGGGGGGAAAAAAAAAAAAAAATCACTGGCTGTCACCGGAGCTGGCAGTGCTGGAGTGCTGCATTTGAGCTGGCAGGGGACCAGCGTGTCCAGTGGCACTGGGGGGCTGGCACAGACCCCCGGCAGGCCTGGAGAAACCCTGGCCCCTGGGTTCAGCAGGGAAAGCTCCCACGCTCCACCATGGGAAGGCAAACTGGGGGCAAAAGGGAGTTTACCTCTCTGTTTACTGGATATATTTTTTCCCCTTGGCACATTTCAGCCAAAAACACTTTGGGATTTTGAGCATGTGCCAGAGCAGCTGTGATTTTTTTTTTTATTTCTCTCTCGCCTTTTTTTTTTTTTTTTTTTTTTTTTTCCAAATCATTTTGCTGAGTCTGTGTGAAAATGCCCCAGAAAGCAGTAAAACTTGTCAAGATGCTCCTAACGCTGGCTTGCTTGGAACAGCACCTCCGAAGGCAGAGACCCTCCCCGAAGCATTGCGTGCCAACAGCCCCGGGGCCCTGCCACTTCTCTGCTTTTCTCCCCAAGCTGGGGACAGGGACACCTCGATGGGAGGAGGTGACATTTGTGTTCAGCTGTGACCCGTCTGGCCCTGCTCCATCTCCAGTCTTGATGCTGAGCAAGAGGCAGAGTTTGGAGCAATGTGGTTTATGGGTCCCCATTCTCAATTGCGGTGAGAATTATTTGGGCAAAGCTCTTGGGACAGAGGTGACACATGGGGTTAAAGTGGAAGGAACCGGGTCCCAACCCAGCACCCAAAATGCCACGGCCCCTGGCAGGGAGCTGGCTATTGGTGTGCAGGGCACAGGGGACCCCTGTCCCAACCTGTCCCCTTTCTCCTGGCATAAGGTCCTTTTTTGATTAATGCTCATATTGAAGCTCGTTTGAATTAATCGGCGAGCAAGACCTAGGGACACGGTCCTGTGGGCTTCTCTAGTGTCCACTATGGGGCTCTGGCCTGGTGCCTTTTCTCCACACCTTTATCCTGCTCTTTTGTTAAAGCTCAAAGTGATGCTAAAGGGGCATCAAGGCTAATGAGAGGAGGTGGAAACTGGGGTGCACCCAGGGCAGGAGCAGGGCTGAGCTAAAACTCACACGACGGGCTTTAATCACAACCAGCCTTCTCCCTTCTGCTGGGCAAATCACTTGTCTGTGCCTTGGTTTCCCCCAAAGTAAAATACTAGTACAAAGGGGACACAGTGAGACATAAATAACTTGTTTTTCTGGTGAGGGGCTTGGGGAGGGGACAAGGACAAGGTGGCCCCCTCTGACCTGGGCTCCCCCAGCTTCCCCACTGCATTGCCAGCACTCTGCACCCCCCCAGTCAACGCTAACCCTGGCCAGCAGGCAGGAAAGCATCTTTCATCAGACAAAATCAGATCAGCACTTGGCTCCCAGCGACAGGAGCATGAGCAGTGTGGATGAAGCAATTCCCCCTGTCCCTTGATTAATAACAAGGCAGGCCTGCGGAGCAAGGGAGGGGGGGGGCCTGCTGTTTAATTGACTCTGTGTTTTTGAAACAGCAGCTTAATGACTAGGTTCAAATTAGCCAGAATCACCTTTTCATCCTGGGGAATTGAAATGAAACGTGGATTGCTCTGGCACGCCCTCCCCCCCACGCCAGCCTCTTAAAAATACATCTCCAACTAAACCAGTTGCATTTCTCATACTTGGATTTTTCATCTTTTATTAAGCAGATAAATTGTCATTGTTTAAAACAGGGATGAAATTCGTTAACACCCATGTAAATCTCCTGGTTTTAACTGCAGAGCCAGGGATGAAGCTGTGGATGAAACTCAAATAGGAAAGCCTGAAATGCTTGTGCCTGCAATGAAATTATAAATCCACATCCCGGAGCAAATGAGCAGTAGGAGGCAGCCAGAAATCTCCCTCAGCAGAAGCACTGGGCTGCCGCAAGGAATGAAAGTTGCAAGTGGAACCGATAAGGCAACCAAACTGGGAGAGCTTTTGGCCTTTCTCCTGGCAGCATCCTGCACAAACAGAGCCAATTCAAGCAAGAACATCTAATAGGGGAGCCCATGGCATTAAATCAGCCTGGGATTCAGTGCTGTGCCCTGCTCCCTACCCCTGATTTCTTCCCTCAGTTTCCCCATCTGTAAAATGGAGGAGATGCTGCCAAACCCAGCTTGAAAACCTCTGTCAGATGCAGAAAATGTAAGTGAACCATGCAGGCGATGCTTGTCGGCTGTCACGCAACAGATCAAGGGCACAGGACACTCCGCTTCCACAGCCCCTGAGCCCTGTGACCAGCAAGGGTAATGCCAGCCGGGACCAAGCGGCGACGAACAGAGGAGAGCAACAATTCTGCCCTGGCAGGCAATCAGCCCTAACGAGGGAGCTGGCCTCGCTCAGCCTCAAAGCCTGATTAACCAAATCATCCCTATTTGTGGGAAGCTTTAGAGGGAGCAGAGAGGGACAAGAGGAGAGCTTCGAGGAGGGATGCCTAACGGTGAGCACTGTCTCCATGTGGGGTGTGGGTGCTGGTGGGGTGCCCTGCGACCTTGGCATCTTCCTGGCCCTGCTGCGGCTGCCCGTGAGCTTGGCACCGCTGCGAGGGGCAACGGAGCCCGCGGTGGGGGTACCAATGCAGGAGCCCTGGCTGGGTTTGGGGGCTGTGCTCGTTCCCGCTGTTACGGAGCTGTTTGGGCTCCGCTGTCCCAGTTTCCCTGTCGGATAGGGGGGAAACGGCCGCGTTGGTCCATCATCATCCTCACCTCCGCGGGGTGCAGCGAGAGGAGCTCACGGTGAGGTGGGTGCCTGGACGCTGTCCCAGGGCAGGGTGACACGGGTGGGGGGATGCCAGTGTAGGGCCGGGGGAGCCGTGGCGGGGGGGGCTACCCGGACACGCTGGTTTGGGGCTGGGGGGGGGGGGGTGTGCCTCCCCTTTGGGCACGGCAAAGCGGGGAGAGTGGGGGGACCCCCCCCCCCCGCCGCGCCCGTCCCCGCATTTCTCCGCGGGCTCCGTCCGTTCCCCCCGCCCAGCCCAGCAGCGCAGCCCGGGGCCGCGCATCGTCCCCGTCCCTCCCCCGCGCTCCCGGGGCGGCGGGGGGCGCGGGAGGGGGGGGGGGGGGGGGCGGCTCCCACGCCCGCTCCGCCGCGCCACGGGCAAGCGCGGCGGGGAAAGGAGCCGGGGCCGGGCCGGGGTCCGGCCGGAGCCGCCCCCGGGGCTGCGGCTCTGCCCGCGCCGCCGCCGCGCCACGGGCAGCCCGGAGCCGAGCGGTGAGTGCGGGGTCCCGGGGACGGGAAAGCGATGGGGGACGGGGACCGGGACCGGGGAGGCGGGGGAGCACCGCCGGCTCGGGCCGCGCCGGAGCGGATCCAGCGGGGCCGGGGGAGGCAGAGCCCGGCGGGGCGCACACGTGGGGGTGGGTGGGGGGGGTGGGGGCCCTGGGGCCGCTTTCCTTCACCTTCCCCCCCCCCGCCCCGACACCCCAAAAGCGGCTTCCCGGGGTCTGCCCGGCCGGTGCCCACCGCCCGGGGCTGCAAGGCCCCTCTGCTCCCCGCAGTCTCGCCCTGGGGCCGGGGGAAAGGGGCTCAGCCCCGCCCGGGGGGGCTCGGCGGTGGGGAGCAGGGCTGTTGCCCCCCCCCCCCCCCCCCCCCCGTGCCGGGTTGGCCCCGGGGGTTTCAGTGGCCTCAGGCAGGCGGGGGGGGGGCTGCACCGGGAGGTTCAGCCTGACCCTGCCCGGCTCCATCCTCCGCCCTGCCCTCGGCTCCGGAGGGTCGGGTACCTGCAGTCTCCCCGCTGTCAGGGCTGGGGCCGCTGCTCGTAGCTTTTCCCTGGCAGACCTGAGGGATCCGAACATCGCCAGGCGTCAGGAAGGGTCTTCCCCCATCTCCCATCGCTCCTGGTTTTCCCCCCAGTCCTGCAGCTTCTTGCTCCTCGCCACCCCAGGGCCCTGCCTGCCCCCTTCTCTCAGCATTCTGGATTATAGGGCTAGGTGGGTTTTCCTGTCAAAAATCCCAGGCTTGGTTTAAATGCAAATGTTGCCGGGGTTGTGTTTCTCGGGGAGATGGAGCAGGCAGCAATCGCAGCATACGCGGCTCCTATCACTGTTCTGGAATAGCAGCCTGCCTCTTCCGACTCCAGATCCAGAGTACTTTTGTGCCAGTTTCTTAATCCACTTGCAAAGCGGATTGAGCTAAAACCTGACAAAAGGTGCTCTAATTCCCACAGCGTTCGCGCAAGGGAGCAATTGCAGAAGAGCAGCTGCTCTTTAAATTCGTGCCCAGCCTTACCCTGAGACGAGGTTTTTGGGAAGGAGAAAAGATAACGGAAGCGAGCAGAGCGCCTGCAAAATAGATCGAGAGCGGATCGGAGCGTGGATCCGCATCCTGGCAGCACCCAGAGCGTGAGCCCATCCCTTCGGAGCAAAGAGCATCATCGGCTGCGCCAGCCGGAGAGGCTGGAGCCCGGGGATGGGACGGGGTTGAGGACACTCGGTGGCCTGGTGAGCACCAGCCTGGGCCTTTCAAAGCTCCCACTTGGTGTTTGGTTTCGTGGTTTGGTCTCGGCTGCCGATGCGGTGCTGCCCGCTCTCGCCCTGGCTGGGGATGCGCTGCCTGCGGGCAGGAGCCTGCCCTGCCCGGAGCGGAGCACCCCGGCGGGCACTGGGCTACCCAGGTCCAGCCCCGTGGCGGGGGAGACACCATGAGAAAAGCCACATCCAGAGAGGGAAAGTTCCTACAAACATCTCTCAATCAAATCACAGGGAATTTTAAAAAAAAAACAAAACCAAAAAAACCCACAAACCTGAAAAAGCAGTGGCCCAGCAGCTCCCAGCAAACCAAACAGATGCTTGGTGCGATATGTTCATGTGTGTCTTTAAAGCTGGGGCCAGATTCTGTTGCCGGCCTCAAAACTGCAGAAATTCAGGTGGTGACCCCTGCAATAACCCACTGGTAAAGGGGGGAGGGCCTTGGGGCTTTGCACCTCAAAGCTTTGCCCTTCACCACTGCTTCATCAGCCCTTACTAAGCTGCAGGATGGAGACTGGGGATAAGGTCCCTGCTGTCTGCACCCGGGGGCATGGCAAGAAACGTGGCACGCTTGATTTAAACACGAGAATAATTCAAGATGTGTTGGGGAGCTGCCAGTTTGACAGCCTGTGATTGATCTGGTTTAATTTGAGCTAATGTATTTATCATCGGCGTTTCTGTGTCGCTCATTAAGGTGGAGGGGAGGGAGCATTGTTGTTGCCTCTTGCTGCTGGAGGACTGGCAGTGCTGGGTGAGTTTTGGCCAGAGCAGCTGGGAGAGGTGGCTCTGATCCCCCCCCCAGTGTTTCTGATGGTTTTCAGAGGTTGTAAGAACCCCACTTGGATGTCTGCAGCCTTTCCCAAAGCCCTTGGTCCTCAGCTGAGCTGAGCTTGGCAAAAGATGCTCTCAAACAGAGCAACACCCAGTCTGCAAAAGAGCCGGAGAAGCACCCCGAGAGCAGGGAGCAAACGTGCTCCCACCGGTGCGGGGAAGTAGGAGGCAAAGTGGTTTCATGAAAGAGTTGGGATTTTGGGGTTAAAAATCAGCAGATTTTGCTTTTATCCTGCCCTATTGGGAGAAGGGAGCTGGAGGGCCAGAGAAACGGGAGCTGGGTTGTATCTCACCCCTCTTGGGCTGCCCTGCTGAGCTGCCCCGTGGCATCGATGCCCGGGCTGAGCGAGGGACTCTGCGGTGGCAGAGCCGGGACACGGCCCAGGCCTGGCCGGATCCTGCACCGCCTCCTCCACCACTCAGCCCTTCCCAGGGGACACACTTGTGCTGATCCCTTGCCAAAGATAGCAGGGCCGGGGGCTTTTTTTTTTTTTTTATTTGCTGTGCTAATCCTGCATTGCAAGATAATGCATCCCTTGCTCGAAGGCCCTAACCTAATCCCCGTGCTTTCCCTCCAAGCAACAGCACGGGCCCAAATTAAACATTGAATTTGAAGCCTGATGGTACAGACAGACAAGAGTGCCTGGTTGTATTTGCACTTGGCGTTTAAAGGCTTTAATTTGATGTGGCTGGAATCGATCCTTTTCAACTGTCAACAAGCCACTGTTTTGTCCTCAAGCATCCCACCGGGGAGCAGGTGGCCCCTCTGTGCTCAGCGGCGTGGGGAACAAAACCCGCCAAAGGCAGAGGAGCTGGGCTGCTCCAACAGACACGAGCCCCGTCGTTGCTGCGTTCGCATCCCCAGGACAGGAGCAAGCTGTTGCCGTAGCCCTGGAAATAACACTGGGAACGTAAAGCACGTGGACGGGTGCGTTTTGCGTGGGCAGCAGTGATTCCCGCGCCGCCGGCTCGCTGTGGCGTGGGCAGCCCGGGTGGGACGGCTGCTGCCAGCAGCGTTTCCCCAAGCACCAAATCCCACATCTTGGAGCTGAGGGACCCAGGGGCTGAGCGAGGCCATCCTTGAGCTTGTCCCCTGCTGTGCTGAGTCACCAGGGGGCTATAAAACATGCAGCCCGTGCCTCAGTTTCCCTGATTGTAGACAGACGTAGCCCGGAGGCCTGGCTCTGTAGGTTTCTATGCTCTCTCAGACAGCAAAAATCCTGCTGCCTCTCTGTGTCTGCAGCTGTGAAGCGATGACTGAATTGTCTGAGAAGGGCAGAGGGAGCATCGTGCAGCATCTCTCGCGTCCCCGGGCAGGGGCTGCAACGCGGGGGCAGAAGGTGCTGCCGATGGAGGTGCTGCTGGAGCTCAAAGGGCCACTTTGTAAATCCTGGAAAAACACCAAAACGAACAGGCGAGGGCAAAAATCTTCAGAGCGCAGATCTGAGAGGAGATGAAGGAAAGCAATAAAACCCAGGAGAGCATTGGGGAAAAGATGCCAAGAGCTGCTCCAGCTCACCGGCCGTGGTAGGGAAATTGATTGGGCTTCGGGCGTTATCGGTTGGCTTTTCTAGGAGGATATTTTTGAAGTTTATGTGGGGTTTACCTTGAAAGACAAAGCAAATGCTTCCATGAGGGTTGGCTACGGGGATGCAGGAGCAAGGAGGGCTGGACCACGGCATCGCTTGGCAGTTGGTGGTGGGCACTGGGCAGCCATCAGCAACAGCATGTGCTAGTTTCTCCTTTTGATCCCTTTGCTTTCAGTTGTGATGCTTTGGGGCTGGCCCTGGGGTGCCCCATGCCTACGGGGTGTTGGAGGTGGGGGCTAAGGGAGGGCAGGGCATGGGGCCGGGGCTGCTGTGGGTGGCAGAGTGGGGAAATGGTACTTGTCAGGGGAGAGCAAAGCCCTCCCCAGCCCTGAGCAGGGGCTGCCCTTCCTTATTCCTCATGGGAAATGAGCAAACTGAGGGCAGGAGCAAACTCACCCCGGTGTGGTCAAATAGCAGGGATTTGGGTGGATAATTTGGGAAAACTGTGAGAAATGTCTTCCCTGTGGATGATTTAAAAGGGGGGGAAAAAAAAAAAAAAAAAGAGGCTAACCATGAAGGGTCTGGGCTGCGATCCCCAGGCTGCCGCGGCGCCTGGGCATCCAGGCGGGCACCCAGTGGCAGGATCCCGGGTACCAGCCTGGCCCGTGCCCTTCTCCTTCCTGCGCTGCCCAGCTCTTTTTGTGCTTTCCTGCCTTCCTCCCCCTGAATTTTCCAGGCCACCATGAGCTTCACTGCAGTTTGCAGTCCCATCCATCATATGGGTTTGGTTTTTAAAGCTGCGTCCCAGCTCTTAACAGCTCAGACCTGGAGTGCCAGGGCTTCTTGTTCAGCTCCCGATGTGCCAGCCAAAATAGCAGCAGCCACATACTGTAGTGGAGAGGAACAAGTGTCATCGAGGATTAAAATGACAGATCCCAGCATCAATGTCTCCGAGGGTTTGTGCTTTATTAAGCAACAATGAGTTCATGGGAAAGGACTTTCACCCGGAGCACCCGTTGTGTCTACAAGAAAAGAGAACCGGGGACTATATTTAGGTTTAGCCGGGTGATGGGGAGGCAGGGCCAGGCACTTCAGGAGGTGAGCTGGGCATCCTCGGCCTGGCGAGGGTGAGCCCTGTCCCTGCAGAGCCCGGGGAGGATTTGGGGGGGTGCGGGGACCAGGTGATGGGAACAGCTCGGCTTCAAGGTGCTGCAGAGGGACAACCTGCAGTGCTGCGGGCAGGGGAGCTGGAGGGATCCCCTTGCCTGTTCAGTGGCCTGTTCGGGGTCTCGCATGCCCAGACCCACCTCAGCCATGGCCAAGGGCATGTGGAACAGCTGGGAAAGCCCCTCAGAGCAGGTTTCACCCTGTCTGCAACTTGCTC